GCTCTGATCGCTAAGACAGCATCACTGACCAATACACTGCCCCTCTTAATTCCACTTTTCCTTGAACACCGTATCATCATTTAGGAAGGAAGCAAGAGAAAGTTTTGTCTGAATTATAAGAAGGATGCTCTGAGCACATTCCCCCAGAATAATTTGACTCTTCTTAGTCATATTTTTGATGATCATTTATTAGAACTGCCTTTTGTTCCTTAGAAAATGTTCTGGCTGGGACCCGGCACGGTGGTCTAGCGGCTAAAGCCCTCACCTTGAATGCACTGGGATCCCATATGGGCGCCAGTTCTAATCCCGGAAGCTCCACTTCCCATCCAGCTCGCTGCTTGTGGCCTGGGAAAGCAGTCGAGGACGGCCCAAAGCCTTGGGACCCTGCACCCGCATGACAGATCTGGAGCTCCTGGCTTTGGATTGGCATAGCACTGGCCGTTGTGGTCACTTGGAGAGTGCATATCATCGGATGGAAGATCTTCCTCATTGTCTCTCCTCCTCTCTGTGTATTTGCCTTTCCAATCAAAATATATACATCTTTAAAAAAAATAAAGAAGAAGAAGAAGAAAGAAAATGTTCTGGGAGCCTAGTGCAGTAGCCTAGTGGATAAAGTCCTTTCCTTGCACGCGCCAGGATCCCATATGTGCATCAGTTTGTATTCTGGCTCCCTGTTTGTGGCCTGGGAAAGGAGTCCAGGACAGTCCAAAGCCTTGGAATGCTGCACCCATGTGGGAGACCCAGAAGAAGCTCCTGGCTCCTGACTTCAGATTGGCTCAGCTTCAACCGTTGCAGCCACTAGGGGAGTGAACCAGTGAATGGAAGATCCTCCTCTTTGTCTCTCCTCCTCTCTGTATATCTGACTTTCAAATTAAGAAAAATAATAATAAATCTTTAAAGAAAGAGAAAATGTTCTGGTTCCCCATTGCTCTAAAAGGGATGGGGAGGGGTTGTTTTGTGTTGTTTTGTTTTTTGCCACGTACATTTTGGCCTACTCCTATTGTAGCCCCTTAGCACAAAATATTACACTTTTTCTGTCCTTGTTGCTGGAAATTTTTGTTTTCAGTTTAAAACTAAAAACAGTCTGAGACTTCCTGTAGTGGCTGTGAAAGGTGATAGAGATCAACAAAATGTTAGTTTAGCTCTTAAAATGTTCACATTTCATCTCAGCTTTGGTGCACGTAAGGCCACAGGCTGGTCTTAGATTTTTGGCCATTTCAACAATGATGGAACACACGAGATCTCAAAGTACCCCCCGCCTCCCACCCCAAGAGGTCTGATTTTCCGCTGTCGGATGTCTGATCTGCCTTTAAAAATGCCCAACAAAACTCAGAGCTGTCATATTAGCTGGGTAAGAGATAAGAGGTAGGAAAAGTATCCACTCATCCAACCACATTTCTGGGTTTTTGTACAGCTTCAGATGAAATGCAGTCACTCAATAAAGTCCCTCTGTTTCTCTTTGCCTCCCTCCCTTTCTCTCTCCCTATTTGCCTAGAGAGGGGAACCCTAAACCCCTTGGAGCCCTGCCAGCAGCACCAGAAGAATCTCTTGACTATTTTCCCAGGGAATTCCTGCCTTAAATGTCAGCAGAGTACAACTCTGCAGCCAACACCGAGTCCATCCACTGGATACGAGTCAAGGAAAATGTGCCCGTCCTACCGAATAGGAATACTCATCTGTGGCGCATGGGGGTAGGGGAGAAACTTATTTGTAAGAAGTTCGAGGTCCACTGGAAAGACACGTGCTCTGAAATTCAGCTCACTAAGGAACAGGAGACTAAATTCAAATGTTTTGTTTCCCCTGTTGTTTGATCGTGGTTTTTATTTTGCTGATTTGGTGGTAGATATTTCAAGAAGTCATCCTGAATAGCAATCATAAGGTTGTTATCTTGTTGACAATGGAGCGACGGAAGCTTCTTGAAACCCCTAGTTTGGTGAGTGTGTTTATTACACCTGCTGGCGTTGTGTTGTGTTGTGTTGTTGTCTGTTTTGCACAAACATAGTAATAGATATATGCTCAAGGTTGGGGGTTGGGGAGGATTCGTGATGCTGAGATTCGTGAAAAGCAAAATAGGATTGATGAGTTGGGATTGAATTTGCCCGTACCAACCTGGAGATATTTCTTGCCTGGTGCTTAAGTGTCACTGATAGTCTAAGAGTTTTTGTTTTAGTCAGAAATCTCTGAACACGTGGAAAACTATGAAAAATTCTGTGGGCAAGTGTGTGTATGGGGGCAGAGGGTGTGGCCTGCACAAATCCCACAGCTACACACGAGCACCAAGAGAAAACAGTATAATGCCACAAACCAAAACTCCATAAGTGCTCTTTAACTAAATAAATAAAGTTATATTTCCAAAATCCTAAGCAGGGACAGTGTTGTAACATGACAAACCACTCTTTGATGCCAACATCCCATATCAGAGTGCTGCTTCAAGTCCCAGTTTGCTCCACATCTGGTCCAAGAAGCTGATAATGTGTCTACTGACAAAGCAGGAAAAAAAATGGCCCAAGTATACTTGGGAGACTTGAATGCAGTTCTGGGCGGCTTAAGTCTTACTCAGAACATGCCATTGCAGCCATCTGAGGGAGTGAGCCAGAAGATGGAAGAACTTTCTTTCTTGGTGTGTGTGTCTGTCTTTCAAGTAAATAATCCAAACGTTTAAAAAGTGGCATTCTCTTAAAGGAAAATTTGGAAGCAAAGTATCCCATGAGTTTGTTTTTGCAAGATACGCTGAGAAATTTCATTTACCCTTCTCTCGGTTTCTCCATGTGTTACTGACCTATAACTTCACAAATCTACTCAACTAAAACTCTGATAGGTTGTCTGGTACAGGGCGCCAGTTGCATATCAATGTGCCAAGTAATTCTCCTCCCCAAAAGATCAAGGACTACACCATTAGAAACAGTTACTCGATTTTTAGATGAATTAAACTCTTTGAAAGTTACCAACAGGGAAAACATTGAATTTCACTCTATTTGATTCTGGACTTAGCTCAGAGTGGCTCACTTTGGAAGGAATTCCTCCAATTCTTCCGGCTCCCACCTACTATGGTCAACCACAAGTACAGTGTGATTGCCTTCCTTTATCACCATATTGTGCTTACACTGCCATAGACACACTTACTGGAAATTTCTGTCCCTCGTCCAAAGAAAAGCCAGGCACACATCTGTTTGTATATGCCAGTGCTAATAGATCTGTAATGTTATCTCAAGCACAAAAATGATCATCAGCAGCACCTATCTCTAGCAGATACAGAGTTAATGTCTGACCAATTGTAAGCCACTCTGCTGAGAGTACTAACAAGTACGGGAGCTGGTGCCAATTCGGGTGGCCCTGCTCTCAATGGGAACAGTCATCCCTTGGGGACAGGACTGTCAGCACAGCAGCCTGCCAGGAAAGAAAAAAAAAGACTCTGAGAAACTGTGGTTACCAACTTTTTCTGGCACTTTGGAACATGGTGACGGGAACTGGCCAGGCCTTGCAGAGAATGCCGATGAGCTTCGAGCAACCTGCAAATGGTGCACCTGCAGAGGGTCCCTCATGGACCAGCAACCTTGAGCACCTTTTCAGGATGCCCATTCACCTCACTGTAAGATTCGTTCCTAAGAAACACCTAAACAGGGCAGCTTTGTTGCCTTCATAGGCCCGGCCAATGTTCTGACTCCGTTTTTCTTAGTGTCAAAAACTTACATCTAGCACATCCTCCTAGAGAGTCAAAGTTCTCTACTTTGAAAAAAAAAAAAAAGTATTTTCTGCCTTTTCTTTTCATCTCACCCAGAATCCAAATGGTACTCAGTTCTAAGAATCAGTATGATTCACATTAATCCTCCTTTCTCCTGATATCAGAAGATATTCCAACTTTCAGAAAGAATATTTTTCAAGAGTGAGATCATGCATATACAATGGTGAATGCACAGACATTTTTCTTAAGAATATAAATTCAATCTTTGTTAGCAGTAACTGCTTGAAACAGTGCTTCCCTGAAATTCACATTCAAAATTTTAGCTCTTCTATTATATCTTTGCACATACCCCATACTTCAAGGATCTGAGTAACAACAATTTCTTCTGTGATTTCAAAATGCATCTGCTTCTCATTTCTTTATTTCTTTCTTGTCAGCCTTCATTCTGAAAAAAAAAAATACCCAGTCAGAATGAGATTCTGAGTGGAGAGAGGAGATCTTAGACAGAGATGAGTCATTTAGCAAGGTTCTAGTTCTTGGGTTGGGTGTTGAGTTCTAGAATGTTTGTTACATTACTCAAAGGTCAGGAGTTAACTACTGTAAAACAAGAATAATCCTCTTACCTAAACATGCAGCAGTGATGATGGAGTCTCATAAAACATGTATTATGATTATTTTAATGCTATACATCTTAGGTCAATCAAATGCAAAGGGCCCTGCACTCATTTTGTACTGGATCTGGCATGCTATATAGCTAGTTTTCTAGATAGTAAATCTACCAATTATTCCCAATCATTTAACTCCACTACTTATATTATTTAAATTTGCTACTTCTGATTCAAAAATTATTAATGTAACAGGGCAATCAGCCCACAAAACAACCAAATTTACTGTATTTTCCATTTTTATTTCTTATTGTGCAAATCAATGTTCTTAGGCTATAAATGTAACTGCTATTAAATATCATGATCATAATGCTGCTTTTTGGTTCAAAAACTTCAAATAAAACTCACTGGCTGTTTTCTCAGTTGAAAACAAATGCACTGAAACCTAGATCTCAATTCATTCCAACTGCCTGATATGCAGGTCTGCTTTCTAATAGTTGCCCAAGTTTGACAATATAGCACATAATCAAACAAGACAAATTTTCAACAATTCTTTGGGGCAGGAAGAAATTAAATAAACATTGTGAGAAATTTTTGTTTTCAAAGATTATTGGATAAAAACACATCAACATTTTGTGTTCCTGAAATGCCTTGTGTCTATAGAGATCAGGTACAGAAAAGTTATTTCAAAGTTCAAATATAACTTAGCGATTGCCACATGGTGCAAAATCTTTCCACCCCTACACTCCAAAAACCCAATCAGACAAGTGGCCGTAATCTGACTCCCAGCGTACTGGGAGCCGCAGGGCAGGCAATGAGAACTGCACTCTGGCCAGGGAAGGCATGAGTGACAGACCCGCAGCAAGGCGGTGGGGGTAAGTCCTTCTTTGCTTTAAGAGAACAGTGTTCAGGGCAAATAGAACTCTGTCTCTTTTACTTACAGATTTGTGTTACAGACTCAAGCCGAAAGCTGCATGGAGGGCAGGCGGATGGTTGTTTTAGAAGAGGGTTCTGGGCACACACAGGGGATGTGGAGAGGGCAAAAGTAAAAGAAAAAAAAGATGCTGTTTAGCAGAGCTCTCCACATAGGTGAGACCTGCCAGCTGGCTCTGGCGATCACCCCGTGAAGGGTCATCTACCTGTGGCATTTTTCATCAGAAAAGGAACTCACCCGGAGGCTCAGCCGTCCAGGAGTGCAGAGCGGTGAGAGTTCACCTAGAAACTAATGTGCCAGTTCCCTACCATGCCACAGACCCTCTTTGTTCTGGGGCAAAGGAAGCAAAGCAAATTGCACTGATCTGTTTCCAGGGCATGTGAATTCTTGGGAACGCTGGGGGTACTATGAGGGGTCTCCTAGCGATATTGGGGTAAGCCCTTGAGAGGCCGGCACACTTTGGGGTTCACAGTTGAGTGAGGCTGCCAAAGATTCTTCTTGAAAAAGATCTTATCTTGTGAATTCAGCAGGTAAAGAAGGCTAAACACATTGTTGACGAGTATTTGCTTTATTGGTTTTGGTGTTTGGGTTTGAATTTCTCTGCCTGATGAAAAGTTATAGCTGAAAGAGTGGCAGAGTTGCTTCATTAGGTCTCTGGAGAGGTAGACAGGTGCGTGAGAGAATTCACTCGGGGAGGGCAAATGCCAGGGTGAAGGGGGCACTGCCCAGAAAGGCTGGCCTTTTCTGGTTCTGCCTCCACCGGTGCTCGCTTAAATTCCAAAAAGAGACTGTTTCCTGCACGCTCTGTTTCCTCGGCTTCCTGCCTTTTCCTCCTCCTTGTCCCTACTGAATGTGACCATAGAAAACAACACCTGTAATTGCACCTTTGCCATCTGGGCCGGCTACAGCCCTGAGCCGCTGCTGAGTTCAGTCTGTGAGCTGTCTGAGCTGCTTCTGCCTTGGGGGGTTGGGGGCATATTTCAAACCCTCTCCCAGGGTGCTCTCCCTGCCCTGTTGCGTGTGCTGTTTTTGAGTCTTTATGATCTCTTCCTCCAGGGAGATGATGCCATTGTTTTCCCAGCTGGGGGTTTTTCATAATTATTCAATTGACTTAGAGAAAGTCACTTGGGCAGGGGATGCCTGGGACATTACTGACTGTGCCCCTTCAAGAGTGAGCCCTGTCTTCCTCCTGCCACTCCACCTTGGGCAGAAAATGGGTTCCTCCTCTTTCCAACTCTGAAGCAAAACCCCAGATCAGAGCAGAGGTTGAGCTGGGATCCTAAAGGTCAAGGAAGAGTCTGCTCCAAGACCTTTAGGAGCACAGCTTTCTGCACGGCCCATGCAGAACGCTGCTCCAGGGGACCCAAGGTGGGGAAAATGAGAGCTCCACAGCATGCGGAAGAGGAAACTGCAGTAACTCCAGTCTCCTAAAGGACTTGGACTTCTTGCCCAACCCTTCACACAGTTATCTGTGATTAGATTCTCTGCTAAATGCTCTTATGACCAACACCAGCAAAGAACAAGGACAAGCGAGGTAGTTAATGCCCAACTGGGGATATTAGCCCCGCACCCCCACCCGGAAAAATCCTAGCCACTTCTTTTCCACATCAACAGTCATCCTTTAAAATGATCAAGCTGTATCCTTGAGGGCCAAAGGCAATTTTGGAGGAAGATGGACTGTAGGGAGAAAATGTTTTCCCTAGCGACAGCTGCCCCTATCTTCTCGTCCCTGCCTCCTTCCATGCACCCCAAGACCAGACACACTGTTCCCTCAGCCAGAGCCAACAAGGACACCTCAGGGAAAGCTTGCTTTGCACAGAACCAGCACTCTGTGGACCAATTCCCTGTGCCCCACAGCAACACACACACACACATACACATACACATACACATACACACACACACACACACACACACACACACACGGCTCTTCCTACCACAGGCCAGGAAGGGGTCCAGGCCCCCAGCTGTTTGCACACCTTTGCAAGAGAAAGGCAGAGAGTGGGAGACCAGCAAGGGTTAAGAGAAAGCCTGGCACCAAGAGGGACTGTCCTTGCTCCCCTAACAGCATCTCCCACCCCCAGCCACCAGGATGCCAGGCCGCTTCTGTTTGCTCCCCTGGCCAGCGCCCCAGAGCCTGGCTCTGCCCGGGAAGGGCTGTTGGCCAGCAGTCAACCAGGCGCTTCTGGCTTCCCGGGAGCCTGAGACAGGGACGCCACGCGAGGTTCCCTGGACCGGGTCCACTCTGGGGCTCCTCCTGCTGCCCTCGCGACCCCACCAGTTCCCCACTCAGGAGCTCCCCTCCCAACTGCGGACTGACTCTGCAGAGACCATTTGGGGCGCCCCGGAGTCCTGGGACGCCTTCCTACTGTCCAGTCTTTCAGAATGCCCTTTGGGAACACTGGAGTTCAAAACTCACACTCTCCTGTTTCTAATTGCTTTCTGTTCAAAATATAAATGGTATCTACAGACTGGGTTGAAACCTTCAAAACTTGCCCTAAGGGAATTAACTACAAGGTAAATGTATTTTCTACTTGATCTCTTTAGGAATTTGATTCCAAACTTTCCCTTTCCAGGGACAGTTGAGATAAACTTACAGTGAAACTGAATGGTCTTTGAATATTAAATCAAGAGAGACTGGAGTAAGATTCTCTTGACTATTAATTAACGATGTGTTCCAGAACTGGTCTTGCTTGGAGTGCAGATAGCACCGGGCAGCGCGTCCCCAAGACAGCATGCCAGAGCTCAGTCCCGGCCCTTCTCACCTCAATTCCTCAGCTTTTCCTGCTGAAAAGGCAGTTCCCCGACTTCTGACGCCGGTCTTCTTTCCTTTCAGTAAGTGTGGACCGTTGTGGACAAGACAGGACATCATGGTGGCTTTCAAAGGGGTCTGGACGCAAGCTTTCTGGAAAGCGGTCACAGCGGAGTTTCTGGCTATGCTTATTTTTGTACTCCTCAGCCTGGGCTCCACCATTAACTGGGGTGGCACAGAGAAACCCCTGCCTGTGGACATGGTGCTCATCTCCCTCTGCTTTGGACTCAGCATTGCCACCATGGTGCAGTGCTTCGGCCACATCAGCGGCGGTCACATCAACCCCGCTGTGACGGTGGCCATGGTGTGCACCAGGAAGATCAGCATCGCCAAGTCTGTGTTCTACATTGCAGCCCAGTGCCTGGGTGCCATCATCGGAGCGGGAATTCTCTACCTGGTCACACCCCCCAGCGTGGTGGGAGGCCTAGGAGTCACCATGGTAATCGCTGGAGCTGTTATTTTCAAACAGGGATGCCAAGCTTCTGGCAAACTTTCCCTGATAGCACCCTGGAGGCCTGAGAGACATTCTTCAAATTGCTCATTTATTCCCAGAGAGTGGTTGATGGTTCCTGATGGGATGAAAATTGATTCCAGCAAGGGTCGGTGTATCAGTTTGAAATCGTTTGCTTTTGAGGAACTCCAGCAGCCAAGTCTAGCTACAAAAATGATATTGGTTCTCCCCCTTTCTCTCACCAATCTTTTTATTTTACTGACTATATATATTTAGTTGAAGCTATCTTATGTTTCTCTGTTCACTAGATGAAGAAGTAATTTTGTTTCACACCACATCCGTGAGATTTAAAATGATCCACTCAAAGGGTCACACTTAAAAAAAAAGTCATGGATGTTTGACCCTAGGTTTGTTCCTCGCCAATTGGGAATATCAATTGGTAGCAGATCACCAGGATTGATTTAAAACACATGGTGTCAATTTTTAATTGGAATATCTACTAATTAATTTAAGCCAATTAATGGATTGAATCATTACGTTAGAAAATTAAAAGGCTGTCAAGAAGCTCTAAGTGCGCTGGACGCACGTTTTGTTTCCTTTGTAGGAAAGGACGTGCCATACGAAGTCCAGCCCGATGACTAAGAGCAGTTCTCTGTGACGGCCCTAAATAAGTGATTGGGGGATGGAGGGGAGCTCGTACTTGGAGGTGATTTCAAGACACAAATTCACCATTGCTTTTTCAAAGAATTAACTAGGGCTTTCATAATGTTAAGCTGTCACGGAAATGTACTCCTGTTACATTTGCAATGGGCGTCTTTTCCTCTCTCCGCTCTAGGTTCATGGAAATCTTACCGCTGGCCACGGTCTCCTGGTGGAGTTGATAATCACATTTCAGTTGGTGTTCACTGTTTTTGCCAGCTGTGACTCCAAGCGGACTGATGTCACTGGCTCCATAGCTTTAGCAATTGGAATTTCTGTTGCAATTGGACATCTCTTCGCAGTAAGTTACCCAGACCATCTGAATAATTGATCCATCTCATTTATCCTCACCCTAGATCTGGCCCGGAGACGTGTTTTACAGCTGTAGCTCTTCAGTATCCAGCTTGCTTGTTCATTTAAAATGATTCTTTTGCTAAGTAATGAGAATGCTGATTTGGCTACTAACATCTTGAGGTTCCTCCAACAGATCTAATAAATAATAATTATAACGAATGATACCTGTTAGTCCCCGTTCAGCAATGTCTGAAACTGCTTTTTTTTTTTTCCTATAGATCAATTATACTGGTGCCAGCATGAATCCTGCCCGATCATTTGGACCTGCTGTTATCATGGGAAATTGGGAGAACCACTGGGTAACCATTATGTTGATAGCTCCTATCTCTAACAGTGGAAGCAAATTATCCATAGTGCCTTTTTCTTTTCCTGCATTCCTCCAACCTTGAGCCTCCTTTTACTAATCTTTCATAAAGATTAGGGAAAGATTAAATTCCATTATAAAACATCTCATATCTGTTCTGCCATCAGTATTAGTCTTTTAATTCAGGATGGTGCTGTGAACAGCATGTTTAAATAATTTAAAGAAAAACCCAGTACAATAACCTAGTGGCTAAATCCTCGCCTTGCAACCCTGGGATCCCATGTGGGCACCAGTCCATGTCCTGGCTGCTCCACTTCCTAACCAGCTTCCTGCTTGTGGCCTGGAAGGGCAGAGGAGGATGGTCCAAGGCCTTGGGACCCTGCATCTTTGGGACTCCTGGCTCCTGGCTTCGGATTGGCACAGCTACAGCTGTTGTGGCCACGTGGGGATTGAACCAGTAGACAGAGGATCTTTCTTTCTGTCTCTCTTTCTCTGTAAATCAGCCCTATCAATAGAAATAAACAGATCTTTTAGAAAAAGAAATAACTGAAGATATTTCCATAACTCAAGAAAAAAGAAAGTCTTAAAAACACTTTCTATCAGAAAAGAATTTACTGTTTTTGTTTACAAAAGCATCACCCGGTTATGGTATGTGAACAGGAAGCATTTGAACTTGAGATGACTCAGAATAAATGGTGCAAATGTTTATACTATCATTGCCACAATCACAGCTGAAAAATTAAACAACTCTCAGAAAAGGCACATTTGTAAGTCTCAAGCCTGATCTTACTAATGTCATGGCACTGCTTCCAGATTTAGTGAAGTCCATTTTTAAATATCACGATCAATTTTGTTTCAACTAATTTCTAGAATAAAGGCATTTTAAGTCTTTCAAGTGAACAGTTCACTAGTTGGGAAGGCCCTAACACACACTAAAATAAGCAGTAAAAATCTGAGACATGTGTAAGCTACTAAGACATGTATTATAATTTGCATGCCGTGAATATTACAATTTTTAAAAAAATTGTGACTAAAACACAATTGTATCAGGTGTGTTTTGATCTTAAGTATATGGTGGTTATTGAGCCAGTCAGACCACTCAACTGTTATACGTTCTGCAAATGAAAACAAATAACACAGCTGTGCTAAGGCGTATGCTAAGTGTTTTAAAGTACACTATGCTTTTTAAAGAGTAGTCTTAAATAATAGTATGAGCAGCAATGTTCAAAAGCGACCTTTTAAATACAGCCATGCAAAGTGTGTTCAGTCACGCCATCTGTGACATTGGCCCTTTTGCCACTGAGAATTCCGTTTATGACTCCAACAGTTTGCTACGTTGAAAACATTGGAAGTTTGAATGACAGTGTATAGATCCTGCAACACGAGTGTGATATAAGATCAACTTACTAAATTAAAACCAATTTGTAATTAACAACTTTCAGTTTAAATTATGAGGATTTGAAAAGGGGGATAATTGCATTTTTATTGATTACTTGTTACATGTATTAGTTGAAATTTAAACAGCAAGAAAAAAAAATCCACACCATGTTGATTAAATCAGATGTTTCCTTGTTGTTCTCCAACAAGCTTAATCCTACTTAAATGTCCAAGTGCACTTTTTAGCAACACTGTATGCCAATCCAGGACTGATTGAAGATACGTTTGCAGATCTGGGTAAGCACAGAGCACAGTGGGTTAAGCCTCCGTCTGCAGCGCCCACATCCCCTGTCTTTGTGCTGGGTCTAGTCGCCGGTGTTTCATTCCCCGTCTAGCATCCTACTCATGCGTCCCGCAGAGCATCAGGCATAGCTCATGTGCTCGGAGCCTTCCACCCTTGCGGAAGGGCCAGGTGGAAGCTGGAGTCCTAACTTCCTCCTGGGTCAGCACTTGTTATGGGAATTCAGGAAGCAAATGAACAGATGAAGAAACTCTCTCGTGTCTTTCTCTCTTGCTCTCATTCTGCCTTTTTAGTCGAACACAAATGACCTTTTTGAAAACATGGTTTCAGATAGAGATAAAAAGATAATCCAAAGCACTGTGATTTTTTTTGTATAGTTTAATGATTTTGTTTTCTTTTCAAGTGCATGTAATTTTTTTTTATTTTTTAGCAATAAAAATTATCCTTGACAAACTTTTAAAAGATCATTTAAGTTACATATGACTTCACTTTGCAACAGCAAGTTGACACTGAGACTTTTTTCCTTTTGGTGATTTTTTTTAAAAAGATTTATTTATTTTCATTGAAAGGTAGATTTACAGAGAGAAAGATAGAAAGATCTTTCTTACACTAGTTCATTCCCCAAGTGACCACAAAGACCAGAGCTGAGGCAATGCGAAGCCAGGAGCTTCTTTTGGGTCTCCCACACAGGTGCAGGGTCCCAGGGCTTTGAGCTGTCCTCAGCTGCTTTCCCAGATCACAAGCAGGGAACTGGATGTGAAACAGAGCAGTCAGGACTTGAGCCAGCACCCATATAGGATGCCAGCACATGCAAGGTAAGGACTATAGCCACCAGGCTAGTGCACGGACCCAACTTTTTTTTTTTCCTTTTTCAAGAACATGCTGCTATTTTGCATCCTCATAGGCTTTTGAGGTGTTGGGGTTTGGTAGTTGTTTCCCCTTATAGGACTTGTAGCTCGTGCAACAGTCCCCTTCTAATGAGATCTTACCAAAGAAATAAAAGGCATTGAGGGGAGCACTCTGATTTCTCGTTTGAAAGGGCATAGAGAAGATAAACTCACAATTCCATGTTCAAGATTAGGAACTTGGTTCTTCCAGCCTCTCTGCCAACAGTTTGCATGTTAAGGGTATGTGTTCCGATTCAGCTTGAAGTTTCAATTTTCTTCAGGTTTTCTAAAGACAGGTTGCTAAGTGAGATTAATTTCCAGAAGGGTTTTCAAGCAAAAATGATTCGTTGTATTTTGAGGAAACAAGAAAAGTGTATTGTCATAGAAACAAAATAGTGGTTCAAAACAGAGGAATGGTAGCCCTAAAGTCTCCTCTCAATCACTTGCAAACCATGATACTCTCACCCTCTAAAGAGTATCTGCTTTCTCATTCATAAATTGAAGATAATAAAATTAGCTAATTGTCAGATTATGTAATTGAACAAAAGTTCTAGGTATAATTGGCATGCAAAGGATATTCAAGAAACAAGGTTTCTATTGCCCAAGCGATTTTTTTTTTGAATGAATATTTAATGCTACACAGCACACAAAGGCTCTAAAGCAAGCACTACGGTTCATTTAAGCCTGAAACAGTTATTCTAGTGCACAAATGGTACAATGAAAACTGCATTTCTTGAAATGCTACAGAATTACTACTTTTCAACTAGAAGTCAAACTTACATTCAGCAGGTTTTTTTCTTTTTTTTTTACCATACCATCCTGGTAAAACTTGTAGAGATGAAAGCTCTTTCAAAGAAGTGTTGTGAACAAAACATAAGATAGTCAGTTAAATCAAATAACCAAATTTCAGAGAGCAAAAGCAAGTAATATACATAAAATAGTAAATTAGTAGTCACATGCCAGACTAGTCACATGCACTTTTTTTTCATAATCAGGAAGCATGATATGGAGGAAGGAACTATTAAGTATTCCACAGGTATTATTTCATTTATCTTTATACCCCATGAAGTATGTAGTTATACAGTCCCTACCATGCAGGTGAGAAAATTAAGACCCAGAAAGTTAACTCACAATAGTGCCAAGTAGTATATCTGATGTCCCATTTGTCTTTCTGTTCTGAATAACTAAAGTTGCAAATGATCAAAGTGCTATTTGATGGTGATAACACAGAAAACCAGTAATGCCCTACAGATTTTTTTTTTAATTTTGGTTGGAGAATTTCTAGTGTCTTCTTAATTTGCAGCACTGCTAAAGAAGAGCTACCTTCTCTTAATAATTATTAGGAAATGGGAAAGTAATGAAATGGAGAAAGAAAAAACAATCCTTCCTTTTTTTTTTTTGCTCAAATGTCATTTGATGGGTTTGCTGTATTTTCCTATTTCTTTTCCAATTACCCTCTTTTTTTCATGTGTAACACAATTGCTGTCTCAAACAAGTTGCATTCTGCATTCACCAGTGGTTCCATGGAATTGCTTTCCTCTGTTTTTCACTTTATCTTTCACCTTCCTCCAGGTGTATTGGGTTGGCCCAATAATAGGAGCTGTCCTGGCAGGCGGCCTTTATGAATATGTCTTCTGCCCAGATGTTGAACTCAAACGACGTTTTAAGGAAGCCTTCAGCAAAGCCACGCAGCAAACAAAGGGGAGCTACATGGAGGTGGAAGACAACAGGAGTCAAGTAGAGACTGAAGACTTGATTCTAAAACCAGGAGTGATGCACGTAATTGACATTGACCGAGGCGAGGAGAAGAAGGGGAAAGACCCATCTGGAGAGGTGTTGTCTTCAGTATGACTAGAAGATAGCACTGAAAGCAGACAACGTCCGGGAGAATCCTCAGATTTCCTTCCACCCATTAAGGAAACAGATTTGTTATAAGTTAGCCATGTGCAGGTGCATTTCATGTCATATTACTCAATCCAAACACAATATATATTACATTATTTACCAAGGAGGAAAGGAGAAATCAATTGTGGATTCCAAATCTAAAGAAGAAATCTTTCCAAAGCATCCCCAAAGCAAATACATTTCAAGTTCTTCTTGCTTACTAATAAGCCATTTAAAGTGTGTAGGAAGATTTGGTTAAGTCTTATCTTACAGATCTTATAGACACACCTATCAAATTATTCCCCTTCTGCCAGGAAACTGGCATTATCAGTTCTCATTTAAATAGTTTTATCCTATTACATTGAGCCTGATAATGTCAAATATAGTATGCCACAAATTCGTACACATTCAAAGGAAGGGCTATAAGAAATTATTTTAGGGGCAACCCCTTATTGATGTACTAATTCTGCAAAAGAATCTTGACAAGGGTCATTGCTAACTGATTACCTTTATTTATACTGCAAATATCCTGTTTTCAACCCCAACTTCAATCCATAATATTCCTTCCTCCTGCTCATAGCCAAAAGAAATGTGGGACTAAAACCAGAAATTTGAAAAGAATATTCAGTACCCCAGTATATTTACTAGTTCCATGCAAGATAATATCACAATCCTAAGTGATGTGTACTACATTCAGGACAGGTAGAAGACCTGTGAAACCTTAAGAGGGTATGGGAAATTTTACCGTCATAGAAAGAAAAAAGAAATACATAATCTGGAATCAAATGCTTGATCTGTTTTCAGTGCACATCTTCAAACACACCACGTGAAATTAACTAAGCTTTTAACTACTTTGCTTAATTTTTCTAATTTATTGGCAAAACTTGGGGTTTTGTTTGTGACTTTTGTTTTTAAATATTAGCTGAGACATGTTTTTCATAACATGGAGCTAACTAGTTGAGTCTCGACTTCAGTTGATTGCTAGGCTCTGCTCATTTTGTAAGGTGTTAACTGATCCTGCACAGTCTCAATCTCTGTGACTTTGATATCTGTTCATCTTCATTGCAAATGTAATAACATTAGAGTGAGTTAACATGCATGACAGACCAGATGCAACAAGGCTACAGAGAAGAAAGGTAAGAACATCTCTACAGTCTGTCTTCTAATCGACTAGGTGACCAATATTTCATGTCTAGATATATTGCATTTATTTTTAAGTATGCTCCTTACTAACTCTAACTTAATACTCTGTTTTGCCTTTTGTCAGTTTTATGTTCTCTAGAGACCCTGGTTTCTATAATGTTAACCTTCTGGTCTAGCTTGATCTTAGACATAGGACTATAAGCGTTACATCATCAAATAAAGCCAGTTGTAGGAAAGCAAAATCCATAACTGCAAGGAGTGGCTTGTAAATAGCTGATAATCAAGGGCTTTCTCTCTCAAGCGAAGTCCCAACTGTATGTCATTTTTGAGTGTTAAAGGCAGTGGTGTGTCAGTGTCAGTGAAATAATGGACCACTATTAAAACCTGATTCTCTTTGGTGCTAGGAGAGTGATGAGCAAAGTTCCCAGAGAATCCTCACACCAGTGTCATACCTGGGAGTGCCACTGGAATGTTTTATGGCAGATGTCAAAGTCCCAGGACCACAGCTGTACCACACACTACGCTAATGCGTGGCTACATCCTGGTCAGTGCCCCCTGCAAAAAGTAAGGTGCAAATCCTCCAAGGAGCATCTGTGCCTATCATTTCAGCTGTTTGTATAATAACCCATTCATGACTTAACGTTGTGTGTCATTCATTTCAAAGGGCAACATCAACCATCAGCAAACATATCAGTTCAAAAATAAGTTCAATTAACATGAAAGAACTAAACAGATTTTCTGAATATGCTTATACAATACCCAGCTTTAGGCACTTTTTTTCTGCCACATGGTTTACTTCTTATACACTCACTTTTATACTCAACTTGGAATTATAGCATTCAATAAGTTAGGGTTTTGTAAAAAGATGAATTATGTCTTTCTAGCTTGTTTTTCAGCATCAAGCAGAATGCCTGGTACACAGTAGGTTAATATAAATATGCAAACTCCATTTGAGCTTTAAGAATATGAATAATTTTTCTTTTAATCCTCATTTTCCTCGGTATTTAATAAAAACGTGATTTCAAGGATTACTAAAGGAAGGCAATATAAATTTGAAAGGCATAAAATATATTTTTTGCATTCTGTTATGTTTAGAGGCATGAAATGAATGAAAGCTTTAGCAGTTTTTTCCCTGCATATGAGACAACATATTTTGTATTTCACTCAAGGCTCTGCCAGTAACAAGTAATGAAATCGTACCTTTGTAATGACATCTCTGCAGCAGGGGTCTGTTGCCTTATGGATGGCACCAAATTATCCAAGTGTGTTGGGAAAGGAGGGCTTTTTCCTTTAATCTCTTCTTATTAATGAAGTGCAGAGTGCCGCTCCCAAGTGACTGCTGCTGACAGTTACACAGAGGGGAGATCAGAGAAAAACCGGAAGACATAAATGAATTCTATCCAGCCATGGAACAATGCCAACTGCTTTTCCCCTGAGAACAGCCACCCAGGCCTCGAAAAAGGGCAAAGTGGTCCTTACCCAAATGGACAAGTGCAACAGGGCAAGTATTGTGGCTTTTTTTTTTTTTCAGCCCTGTCTTCAAAACTTGAAGCACAGATTTTAGAAGATATTTCCCATTTTGAAAGGGGACATTTTCTTGAGAGAACTAACCTTTTACACAGGAAGTGTTTTTCAGAAGCGAATTCTTTATCTACATTGAAGGTGTCTACACTTTTTCCTGAAATTTGATAGTTTTCACAAGTGCCTGTAGTGCCTTTCTATCATCTGTGCCTTTTTCTAACGCATAAAGGAGCTAGCTAGAACTACTGCCCTGTGTTGCAGATTTTATAAGGAGATCAGGAATGCTGAACAAACACATCTGATGGAATTTAGTTATCAGGCTTATTAGAAATTTCAGGTCAAATAGGACAGACTAGTTTTTGAAAGGCATAAGACCAGGTGACACATGTTTTGGTTTAAACTTGATAATGACAGGAATACTCCAAAACAGAGAGTCAAATACAAAGGCTGAAATTAACCCCAGCAATGCCCTTGGTTGTAAGCAGGTGGGCACCATCCTGGACATTTGGCAGAAAAGTTGCCTTTGGAACAACTGAAGATGAGAGTGTGAGCTGAATAGATACCTTGTCAAATATGTAAATACCAAGCGTAAGATTTGGGGGAATATGTAAATTCAAAACATCACAGGCCTGAAAGTAATTCTGTCTTTCCTAGTGTGTTTGTGGCATGAGCATAATTTGGAAGCTGTGTAGCTCTTCTCTGGAAAGTGTAAGGTAATAAAACTCACTTCCTCTACTTTCTGTCCTATGAGTTCACAGTTGTGTTTTAATGTTTGACAGATTGTCCCATACTGGCCAGAACTTTTGGAACTCTTAATTTTCTGAAACAAATAAAAGTTGTTTAATTCCAAGATCAGAAACTATAACCACTCATATCTGCAAATATTTACCATAGTCTGTGAAAAATTAAATAAATAGTACATAATAAATGCAATGGCCACAAAACTTAAAAGCAGTTATAATGTTACCTGTCCAAGTTGAAAATTAAAGACCTAAACACTGCACCTAATTTATATAATTCATTGTAATAAATTTCTAGATGGTCTTCAAGATTCATTAAATAAAATTCACTTAGTAAATATAAAAGCAATTCTTCATTACTTTTATGACCCAAATCACAATGAGATTGTAATTCACAATAAACTAGGGAGAATAACTGAACATATGGTTATACTCACAATTATTTATTAACTGAAATGCTTTCTCAACATTATAGTCAATATGAGAGATATTGAAAGTATAATGTCTAATATTTAAAATGAAATATTAAAGTCTTAACATTGTGGTTGCTTCCCATGAATAATGCTACATCTCATACTATCAAACTTGTACAAATAAACTTCTAAATGTTTTAAAAGATATCTTTTAATGTTTTTATATATTTTTAAGGATGATATTCAAAACTCCATTCATGTTTTTGTAAGTTAGAGCATAAGCACTCTTGAGAATGACCGGGAGGTTTAAGTAGTTGAGTACAGTCAACACCAAACAAAATGGTGGTGGAACTCATGAAATCAAGTGTATTTTTTGAAAGCCTGCAAAATATGCACTGTAGTTGGGCTTAGCAGTGAAAATTGTGTTTTCACAGGCTTCATTCAAAATGTACAAATGTATCCAGAATGGACAACTATAACTATCATTATAGTCCATCTAAAAGTAGAGACCGAGACCACTGCAACCATTCTTGCTAAATAGACGCTCTATCCTCAGACACTTGGCAAATCCTGCCTCCCCAGATGGATAGTATAAGCTCGGTGAGTGATGGTTTCACTTTCTGTGGCACTGAGTTGAGGGCCTTCTCAATTTTGAGAGGACACAGGCCCTCAGCGGAAGACTGAAGACAATTATGTATGTAGTGTGCAACCAATGAATGAGGTGCAACCAATGAGGTGAGGTGCAGCACCTCACCTCAGGAGCCAGGAGACTACGTATCTTTCTTAGCATTTGTAAAATTGCAGTGTGATCATGTGAAGGTCTCTACCTCCACAGGATGCTGAACAATTTAAGGGTTAAGACTGTCTCAGCTATTCTGTGTCTTCTCCCACCCCAAAGCATTGAAATCAGCTTGACATTTACTCATAAAGTGCTTGTTGCCTGTATAAAGAAATTCATTAGTATCTACAATCATTTGGAAATGTCACAAACTGCTGTTCTTTAATCTACTTGGTTTTCTGCTGTGTATTTGAATGTATGTAGTTCCAGGCGCAGGAGACTAAAATTAGCTCAGGAAACTAAAAACAGATAGAAATGAACACCAAAAAATGAAACACTAATTAGACTTTTTGAATTTATACCTAATGTATAGGCAACAAGACATGTTTTCATTGCTATATTTATACAATGGCCAGATGTTAGATGAAATTTAGCTCAATGAGCATTTCAGCAGGGAAAGTGGTTTAACAAGCATGGAAAGCTAGAGACATAAATGTCAGGCTGCTTTAGATAATTGTCCTACTTGGAAAATGTCCAAAACAATATGTCACCTGAATTAATTCTCACTATTTTTTTTATCATTTAGGATGTTTAAGAACTTATTGATCATCTCAAAAGATTGAGATATATTTCTCGAATTACACAAATCTAGAAATCTCTGGGAAACTGTCGCTGGCCTTTTCAACATTTTTGCTTGTTACAGTGACAGCACATAGCTAGTGTCCAATAGATGTGAAATGAATGGATAGATGGGTGGATAGATCATGGATGGATGGATGGATGGATGGATGGATAGACAGACAGACAATGGAATTCTCCAACTTGCAGGTGTTAAGATAAGCTGTAAGCCAATGGAGTCACTGTTTATGCCCCTTCTTCCCTTTCAAGAACCACTTTTTTTCATACAACAATAGATTTGTGACTCTTTGAAGAAGAACTTCAAAGCCTAGAATAACTGAGAATTTATGGAGCTTTAGAATTTGTAAGCGTTATTCTCTTCCTTTCAGCTTAAAGCATTGCTATGGAGTAAGCACTGCCATCGTTCTACTTCCAAAGATGAGGAATACACATTTCAAACAGTAAATTACTCAAAATCACACCTACTGGTAAGGCAAAATTGGAACACACTTTGCAATTAACCTACTCTCCCTCCCATAATTATATATCATACAGAGTTCTCTCATTCACCTATCAGCATAATTTCCCATTGGTCACGAATCTAAGTATCAAACAAAAGGTATGTTGTTATACCCATAGGGATTCTCACGTACCACATAACCAAGAGGCAATAAATCAAGTAGCACAGATCTGAAGTACCTTTCAACAAACCTACCTACTTCAAAAAGTATGGGACATTTAGTTGTTCTTTTTCTCAGAAAAATACTACTCTCTAGTATATTTTTATGCTGTTTGAGAGTGGAGGATCAATTTGCAAAGTTTATGATAAGAATGTCCATGTTTCCTTAACAATAACAAAAGCTTTCACCTGTTCAGTACTTACTCCGTGGACATAAATGATTAACACAATTTATTCGTGGAACCTTCATGAAGTCAAAACCACTAACACTGCCATTTCACAGAGGAGGAAGCTCAAATAAACATGACCACAAAAGGGCATTTGACCCAGGCGGCGTGTGCCTTGCTGTCTGTGTCTAGCCTGTCTTACCTCTTAACTGCACCGCTTTGTGTTCAAATTGTTTTCCAACTTTCATTATCTGCTTTTTCCAAGCCTTTGATTTTTCATATCCAATAGAGATTGGAATGTGTTGTAGCCACTCAATTGTTCCTGACTTTATCTTTGCTTATCATTCTGACCACCTTTGAAGAAAGATCAAAACACCCATGTGCAAATGCCACAAAGATAAATCAGTTAACCTTACAAAGTATTTTTGAAAGGGACTTTGAGTATCCAAGAAAACTCAATCTTAGGTGAACAGTGACATGCCAGAAACTTCTTATTCAATATGCTTTCCACTTTTCAGTTCTAAACTTCCTATCTGATCTTTAACTTACGTGATTTGACGATTTCTCTTTAATTTTCAACAAGACTTAAGCCTCATTTTGGTTTCAATTATCAGTATGTATTTTAATTTTTATTAATCTATTACTCATTTAATTCATGCACACATGAGCATCTGTTAGAGGATCTTTAGAAAATTTAAATTGTGGGCCCGGCAGCGCGGCCTAGCGGCTAAAGTCCTCGCCTTACGTACCAGGATCCCATATGGGCGCCGGTTCTAATCCCAGCAGCTCCACTTCCCATCCAGCTCCCTGCTTGTGGCCTGGGAAAGCAGTCGAGGACGGCCCAAAGCTTTGGGATCCTGCACCCGCGTGGGTGACCCGGAAGAGGAGGTTCCTGGTTCCTGGCTTCAGATTGGCGCAGCACCAGCCGTTGCCTTCACTTGGGGAGTGAATCATCAGACGGAAGATCTTCCTCTCTGTCTCTCCTCCTCTCTGTATATCTGACTTTGTAATAAAATAAAAATAAATCTTAAAAACAAAAAGAAAATTTAAATTGTTTTTAGCTTATATTGAAATAAAATCTCAATAATGACGTCAGTGAAATGGTGATCTGAAGAAGTGTATAATCAGACCAGTTAACCTAGACCACTCTAAAGAGTTAAAAAGACTGCTCTCTTAACGAATAAATAAATGTGAGTTTATCATTCTGTTTATTTATTTTCATTTTACTTTAAAAGAAGAAATGTAGACAGAAAGACAGACATGAACTGATCTTTTATCTGCTCGGTTACTCCCTAAGTAGCCAGAACACCAACCCAGGGTCGGGTCGGTTTAAAATCAAGAGCTCAGCACCAATCTGGGCACTCCAAGTGCTTGAACTGCAGCTCATCACAGTGCAGAGCAGGAAGCTGGATGGAAAGCAGGGCAGTCAGGAGCCCAGAAGGATGCGAGTGGTAATTATTCCAAGTAGTTGCTCCACTTCTGTGCCAATTCCCTCCTCCAACAGTACCTCTGAATGGTCTAAACTGTGATGCTGTCACACTAGGAACATTCTTAAAAATAATTGAATATAATGACTGTTACCAGAACTCTCACTCTCCTTCAGCAAGGGAATCATGTGCATTTACAAAATAAGACTACAGACACCTTTGACTAATTTGCTTCCAAACTAAAGGACTGCGGCCCGGGGTCACCAAAAGAAATTTTGACTCTAAACTTTCAGAAAGTAAAACAAAACAAAAGCAATCTTCAGAAATGTACTGCCAATGATTGTCAAGAAAAACTGCTCAAATTCGGAGGGTCCCAAACAGGAAAGAAAGCAAAAGTGAAGGAGGCAGCAAGGGAATTAACACAGAGGAGCGGAAGGGCGCCTGGCACTGATGCCCCACTCCAACCAATCCCTGGGTAGGGAATATTAAGACAGCAGGTGCTCCTGTATGGAGCGAAGTGTGTGCTAAGTCTGTGTGTTTTTGTCATCCCATGTCATAACTAGTCCTCTTAAAAGACTGAACTATGCAGTGTCTTTGACAAAATTAAGCCTTTATCAGTATTCTAATCATCACAATGTCAGACTAAAGGGAAATAGATGTGTGATTAAAATCGAGGGACTCTCTGAATCTGGATTTCCAGCAATGAATATAGAATAAAATCAGGATCTTATCCTTCCTCTCAAGAAGTCTAGTTTACAAAATTATTCCTTAAGAAAGGAATGGTTCATAATTTCCCATTTTAAACTATTCCTGGATTTCAATGTCAAAACTTATCACAGAGGCCCGACTTCTATCTTGGTGTTCCAAAGGTTGATGTAATGGAAACTGGAGCTGAAGCATGAGAAAAGCAGCGATTTCTCAAGTGACCTGCATTAAGGAAGAGTTGAGAAATACTGATAGAGATTATTCAGCCCTGTGGTGTTGGTACATTATGGTTAAATCATTCATATTCTTTGAACTCTAATAAAAAATTCTCATCAAACAATGATGACATTTTCATCTCATCAAAGTTTAATCACAAGAGTATTATAATTCTGATTCTCTTCACCTCAGTTCAAATTGAAAGTAATTGTCAGACGTCATTTTAAGTCTAACCATCACATCCATTCTTACATGTGTTCCCTCACTTTATTATAGCCCATTTTGTTCTCTAAGAGGCATGTAATTCTTTTCTATTATTCAGGCTGTTTCAAAGGAACTTTTCACCTACTTACAAATAAGACACTTAAGGCTCATTTTAAAAGGCATTTGAGATAACAAATTAATATGAATGAAAAAAATGTTTTCTTGAACCACTGAGAGGCATGGATGGTAATAAATTCTACTTCTTGAATTGTTTGATGTTGAAAAACCACTTAACTGCCTGAAATCTTGACTGTTTGAAAAAAAAATTCGCAATCTGCAGAGTAACAGAATTTAAGTATACAGAAGCAGAAAGGAAATATAATGTTCAATATTTTAACATTGAAGTCTTGG